GATAAGAGATTAAAGATGAGGACTCAGAACAGGACCTTGGTGACTGGCTGGATTCAAGGGGAAGGGAAAGGAAGAGATGCCAGCAAAGGAGAGGAAATAATTAAAAACATACAGGGAGAAAAAACAAAGTGGAGAAACTCCCAAGCTAAGGAAAGAAGAATTCCCAAGACTGAGCATCACAGGCTAAAAAGGATCAATGAGAATGTAAACTGAGGAAAAGCCGCTCGCCTTTTTCAAATATGGGAGTGAGTAGTAACAATTGAAAATGCAGCACGAGAGAATAAGGTCAAGGCCAAGGTAAAGGTTAAGGTTAAGGTGACGTAGTAAGATTGATGAAAAAGAGAAGGGAGATGCTCAGAGTACCCGGTTGTGACAATATTTAGCATTGTGACCGTCAGTTTCTTTCACAGGGCAGCCATGCTTACAGGATGGGGGGCAGATCTGTGCCAAGGGAAAGAAACACTTAAATGGAAGAGAAAAGGCTTGAAATCACAGGTAAAGATGTCAGTTTAAACAAAAGGGACTATACAGTCTCATTGGTGGTTTCATCAATAATCTTCTATTAGAACTAAAAAATACATCCCCTTGCCAATACACAAAAATGTCTGCATAGTTTAGACATTTGTGTTAAGAGCTGAATCACCTGGTTTTGCAACCAAACATCTATTTTCAAATTTCTGTCTCTATCGCTTGCTAGTGGGAAAACCGAGACAAAAGACTTAATTCTGGACAGCTGCCACAATTTCTTCATCTATGAAACAGAAATAATAGTATTTGCCCTAACTGTTCCACAGGATTATTGCAAGGATAAAATGGTCATGTATATTAAAGGTATAGAGAGCCCAGTAAATGTTAAATTCTCTTTCTTTCACCCAGCAATCATTAAATGTTGACTGATTTAAAGAAAACCAGCTGACTATTCCAGCTGTCATTGTATAGAATTATAGCCGAGGGATGAGTAGTTAAGAGAAAGCAAAAAGAGCTGGATATTGGGCTTAGAGAACATTCCACTTTGTCAAAAATACAGGAAACTTCTGCAACAACAGAATATAATTTGAAATCTGAATCAGAGAATAAAAGATCTGGAACCAGCACATATATATATCAGAGACTCCCAGACAAGTAAGTCATATTCTGGGCACATGATCAAAATCTCATAGCAGTGTCCTAAGCTTCCCATGATCTCAAATTCATACACACAGACCTGAGGACCGAGAAAGAATGATTTCGACAGGTCTGAGCTGAGCTATGGTGCAAGCAGGACTCAGCCCCAGCAGAGCCCTTGGTTTGAACTTCCTTAAAGGGGAACTGTAGCTACAAAAGTCTGTTTCTAGGATGTGCTCTCTATAAGCATTTTCTAGAGTGTTTAATAAATTATGTAGATGTGAAAATATTATTGGCAAATTAATAAAGTGCTCAAAATAATCAGACACTAAATGATTATACCATGGCATGCAAATCACCAAAAATTAATGTACTGTGCTTCATTTAAAATCCCCAGTCAGGAGATATATCCAATTTCTTCCTATGATAATTTAAATAACTTTAGTCTTAGGAGAGTAAAAGACATCGAAACCTAACCACGGGCATAAAACTTTTCACAGGCAACTGAGCCTAATAAGAAGTAGTTTATTTAAGTGTCATTTAAGTATTTATTTATTCATTGATTTATTCATTCATTAATTCATTCAACAATCATTTGCAAACACTAAGTTGAGGTAGTAAGTACAAATGACAATTTCTGGAAGTTTGGTGAGGAAAATAAGGGAGATTGAGCCGTAGCTTGAGGGGGAAGATTCTTTCAGGCCCGAGGGACAGGGTGATGGCATAGGGACATTATTATGGACATGAGGGAGTTAATGTAATGCTCCTTGTGTCTCCAGACACTTTCTCTTTGTTAGAGAAGCAAGATCTCTATATTGCGCGCGCGCATGTGTGTGTGTGTGTGTGTGTGTGTGTGTGTGCATGTGTATGTGACATGTCTAGACAGTCACATAGACCCATGTTCGACTAGTGACAGCCCCTGAACCTGTGTGACCCAGGACTCAGGGTTGATGGGTCAATCATTTCTACATGGAGGATAACCACGAGGACTGACAGGACCAGTGTGGACCAGGTGTCTGTTAAGTGCTTGGCTAACAGTGGTTATCCATGAGCTATCACGTGCCCACATGCATGATGAATATAGAGGGTGGGACAATTTTTTTCCCACATGTTACTTCCAAAACAAAATAGTATTAAATATTTAAAGTTTCTGGCTAAAGACTATTTCTAGACCTGTAGGACAAAAAAAATAGAAAAATATCTGGCACTCGAATGGACTTATAAAATTAAAAAGGCTAATTTCCAAGCATTAAACAAAAATGAAGCAAGATTGACATTCCAATATTGAATTTAATATGGAAAACTACACACATATTTGAAGGCTTTGACAGAGCAGCCAGCATGAAACAACCAAGAAAACCATGGAAATAGTTTGCCTGCCCGGAAACAGTTAGGAGTCAGTGGACACAGCCACACTCACGAGAGCCCCCTTAAAGCTATTATTCTCCCAGGGCATAAGGGGTAGAGGGATTTCCACAAAATTACATTCAAAAGGGAATTACAGGGAAAGATGCTCCCAGAAGAATAAAATCATCTGAATGTGAACAGCAAATACAAGTTTAACTTGTTTTGAGCTTCTTGGAAACTGTGTTAAGTCTAGTCATTGCTAGGATTTGGTAGGATTTCAACCCAGCTTTCTGTTCTAGATTTGTGTTTTCTTTTTTACTCTCAAGTGAATCACACACGAGCACTAACCCAGAAGTCATATGTGCTATATTAGAAGTTCTGCTGTGAATACCCAACTGAAAATTTCAAGATTTGGGACCATGTGAATCTATGAGGCTGGCTGCTTAACCATAACTTAATTTAAAATTCTTTGTTATTTTAGGAAGAAATTTCACAAAAAGCTGTTCTCAGCAACCAGTTTCCAATTCACATCAGCAACCCTGGCATGTAATGAAACACTGTGTTTAGGGTAATAGCTTTGGACTCAGACCTGGAGAAAATGGTGGACTTCGCTAGAGAGGACAGGACGATGTGGGTGTCAAGTGGGTGGGACTCTGAGGTCCCATTTCCAATTCCATCAGAGAAGTTCTGCTTTCATCTGGTTTGCAAATCGGTTTTCCAAAAGGGATTTTGTTCAAGCAAAGGATACAGTAGTTTACAAAAGTTTGAAAACTTCTAAACAGTAGGATATGCAGACTCTTGCCAGTTGGGACATTTTATGAGACTCTTCCAGAGTGACAGCTTATAGAATTTATTTCCCAATCCGCGATGGTCACAATGCTGTTTTCCCAAGATAACCTAGCAACCCTGGCTTCCCAGGCCTCAGTGGAGCTAGGAGGTGACCTCCTCACACTGACCAGATTCCCCAACAGTTGGAGTGTGTCTGCCAACCCTTGACTTTTAAAACAAACTCTCACATAAGAGCCCCTTTTGCTGTTTTTGTTGCCTGTGCCGAAGTCACTTCAATTGCAAATTTTCTCTGGTCTCCGTACAACCCCCGTGAGGAGAGGGTTTCATTTTCGTGAGAATTCTCCCAATTCCTCTTACCATCTTGAACTCACATATTACTCCATTTAGATGAGGAAGTTGTGGTTAAATGATTAGAGAGGAAACGAGTTCTTTCAAATCAATCCAAGATATATTGAAGAATAACTTATGAATAAGACGTTGTCTTGGCACGGCAAGGAAAACAGTAATCCGTAAGGTGAGAAAAGTTCCGAGAAAGCAAACCTGACACTGTGGGGATGGTGAGAGACACTGTGGGTGCTGAAGGTGAAGAACGCAGGCCAATGTTTCTCAACTTCATATCTCAGGTAAACATTTCCAAGGAAGGAGGGTGGGGCATGAGGAGAGGGAAGGCACAGAGATAGACCAGTTTCTCTCCCCAAGAGTGGCAGGGAAGGCCCTGGTGGTACCTAAGACAATTTTATGTGGAACATAAATACATGAATGTACATCTTTCATTGCATGGCCATGTATTTATTTTAATGTACAGGAGATGCTAAATAATATTTTTGAATGAATGAACACATAAATATATGAATGAATGCATATATGAAAGCGTTAATAAATGCTGCCTAGCCCCAAGTAGCAAAGATGTGCTCATATTGAGGGGAACGAGGATGCATAAAACTAAGACCCCAGAGTCACACTGGGTCTCTTGCTCACCTGGTACATTCTGAGAGGTTTCAGAGAAGGATCCTGTTGTTCCCATGGTGATGATGGGCAAGGTCTACACAGAGCAGGGAGTTATGTCACACCCCACCCGTGGAAGTGTGGTCTTCTGAGGCAAGGAGCTCAAATCGTAGGCCTGAATAAAGATCAAGGGAAACCATGGTGCTATTGCCATTGCATACCAGGTGGCTTAACAAAGGCAGAAGGGACCTCAGAGAACTCCAGAGAGACATCACAGACTGAGTGGTTGAGGAGCTGAGCTTCAGTCAGTGTAGGGGCTGAACAGCCATGGGGCCCCCCAGTGTTAGTAACTCTACTCTCTGCCCTGGGAGCAAACTATGTGCAGAAACCTGGAGCACTTTATGATCAGCAAAATCAGATAGCAAAATCCATTCTTCAAAAAAGCCATGGAGTACTCTGTAACCTGTGTGTGTAACAAGGGCCTTTCTCAAACAGGATAGAAATGAAGTGGGGAAAACAACTGTTTACATGGTGGAGCGTGTCTTCTTCACACACATCCTGTTTGACATTAATCATGAGATTGCAACACCAATCAAACCCAAATAATCTGCTCGGAGTCACGGTTTCTGATGATTGCTCAGGCAATTCATTGCTAATCAGGAGGATATTATAAAACATGACTCAGACAGCCTCCAGCTTTCTGGAAGGGCAAGTACTCTATATATAGAGAGTGAGCTTCCCAGCTGAGATACTGGAGCACCAGGCAGGTGGGAGCCATCAGTTGTCTTGACCTGAGAAGGAAGACAAAGGCCAGCATGCCCAACTTTTTTCTGCTGTTGCTACTGCTCTGGGGTCTGGGGTCTCACGGCTTCCCAGCGGCTCCAGAAACACAAGAGCAAGATGTGGAGATAGTCCAGGTAAATGCTACATTACATGTGCCTGTAATGCGTGTCTTTAGTTTGTATTTTTCCGCAGTAGTATAATGGAGTTTATTTAAGGATGGATTTCCTGCAAAGAGAAGTTATTTTGTCAGGAACAGCACCCTCCCAACAAATGTATCTAGCCATGCGTAGACTCCTCTGTTCCATTTGGTGGTGAGAGGGAATTGAAGGAATAGTATGCAAGTCTTACTCTACAAATTGTAGATTTGCAGCAGTATGCAAATCTTGCTCTACCAATCTTGCTCTGCTATGAAGTGCTGACTTTGTAGTAACTAATGGTAGGGACATTTCTACTCTGAAATTGCATTTTTGCACCAATGATAAGCACAATAAGGATCATGAAATCTAAACATAAGCTTTAAAAGTAGTTTCTCTGTTTTGGCAAAAACTTCGTGTCATTAATTTTTCAAAAAATGAGAAAGATTTCCCATCCAGTATTTCAGTAATTTTATCTTTTATCAGAAATACCTGGAAAACTACTATGACCTGAAGAATGATGGGAGGAAAATTGAAAAGAAGAGAAGCAGTGACTCCGTGGTTGAAAAATTGAAGCAAATGCAGGAATTCTTTGGGCTAAAGGTGACTGGGAAGCCAGACACTGAGACCCTGAAGGTGATGAAGCAGCCCAGATGTGGGGTGCCCGATGTGGCACGGTTTGTCCTCACTCAGGGGAACCCTCGTTGGGAGCAAACACATCTGACCTACAGGTAATCAGATTGAGCACCAGAGTGAGAATGCTGTTTCCCATTAGAGTGGTAAGAAATAAGGTCTGATGTGTCTTTATTTCCTTTCATTCTAAGGATTGAAAATTACACACCAGATTTGCCAAGGGCAGATGTGGACCATGCCATTGAGAAAGCCTTTCAACTCTGGAGTAATGCCTCACCCCTGACATTCACCAAGGTCTTTGAAGGCCAAGCAGACATCATGATATCCTTTGTCAGGGGAGGTAAGCTCTTCCTGTAGCATGAAATTATTCACACCTTAACTTTACCTTGCCCCTAAATCTCTTCAGCTTTGTAGCTGGAATTCCTTGTTCAAGAGGGATGTTGATTTTATGGGCTTAAGGAAGTAGGAAACTATGTCACATCTGACGGAAGTCTGTTGGCCCCTTCACAAAGCCAATGCTTGCCCTCCTGGGTTAGCCTCAATAAGAACCAAGAGGGATATTGGTTGAATTGTTTCTTGCAGATCATCGGGATAATTCTCCCTTTGATGGACCTGGAGGAAACCTTGCTCATGCTTTTCAGCCAGGCCCAGGTATTGGAGGGGATGCTCATTTTGATGAAGACGAACAGTGGACCAACAATTTCAGAAGTAAGTCAACCAGTTTTGCTTCTCCCAGTTCTCCCACCTCTTTGTGGTTCATTGTAATATTGGTTGATGTAGCTGAAAGAATGTACTAATATAAGTATGCATTTTTCTGTTACTACTCAGAAAATAATAATACATTTAGAAAAGCATAAAAGAGGTTATTTCTGCTAGTACAGCATCTTAGTGGTGACGATCAGGCCACTTTAAAATTTCTATTATGAAAATGTTGAAAACCTTAATGTTTTACCTGTGGGCATCTACACTGAATCTTTTTTATTAGAAGGACACAGCAAAATTTAGCAGTAGTAGTAAGCTTATGTGGAAATTAAGGAAGGGGGTAGCTTTCTCTGTTTTCCAAAATTTCCAGCAGTATGCATTTATTAGTTTTATACATAAGAAAAAATTTTAAGTGTTAATAGAACTTTATTGCTTCTCTGTGAAATAATATGTGCCATCTAATCATTAACAAGATTTACTAATCTGTGCTAGAGTCAGCTGAGTTTGTCTTTTAATTTTATCAGTGTAATGATAGAGTTTAGGCTTTAACATGTCTCTTCATTATTAATAAGTGCATGCCTCCCACCTTTGCAAAAAATTATATTAATATATATTTCAAAAAGTCACTGACAAATTATGAGCATTAGTCCTTGTAGAGTTGTAGATTATTCCTTAACTAAATGCCTCAAGTATGAATATATTTCAAATAATTGCAAGCGAATTTATTGCTCCTTTTAGATTACAACTTGTATCGTGTTGCGGCTCATGAATTGGGGCATTCCCTTGGACTCTCTCATTCTACCGATATTGGGGCTTTGATGTACCCCACCTACACATTCAGTGGTGATGTTCAGCTAGCTCAGGATGACATTGATGGCATCCAAGCCATATATGGTGAGTATAAAGAAAAAGCCATGAACAATGGCCTACGGGTCTTTACTTCTATTCCAAAGAAATCGGCCGTTAGCTGTATCCCTTAAGAAGCTGTTTTTCATTGTTTGTTCAGTTTTCCAATACTAGGCTAAACTAACTCCAGGTCTTTTATTTTGTTTAGGACCTTCCCAAAATCCCAACCAGCCAACAGGCCCACAAACTCCACAAGTGTGTGATAGTAAGCTAACCTTCGATGCTGTAACTACAATTCGGGGAGAAGTGATGTTCTTTAAAGACAGGTAAGACATAACAGTTCTTCTATGTGTTCCACATTTGTAATAATAACAATATTCACTACTATGGGCCACTATTATTCTTCATGTGTTATTTTTCTTACATTTGTTCACATCTGTAAGTATATGGTAGCAATTTCTTGCATTTGTACAATGTAACGTACTTGTAACAACTTCGATTTCCCACAGATATTAGGTCATTTGATTCTCAGAAAATATCACTGAAGTAGCAAATCAATAATTTATAATCCCATTTACAGATCAGTAAAGTAAGGCAAAGAGAAGGAAAGAGAACTTTTTGGGACACAGAGCTTATTGGTGACAGAGTAGTTACTGTCTTCTGTCCCCTACTTCAGGACTTTTTTCATTATGTACCTCTTTATGATAGAAGGTGTGTTAGGACTTTATTAGGAGAAGTCAGTCCTTTTCACAGTACCATCACGCCGACGAGGGTTGCATAGCCACCTTTTAAATATCACCTCTGCATTTGGAAAAAAGATGGATCTCCCAAATCCTGTCATCATGAAAGGTCTCTGTTGTCTCTTGGAGGCCCAGAGATGAGAAAGAGCCAATGCTCCCCAGGAGTTCATGAAATGACCTGCCCCCTTCTCAGGAAGATATTTGCAGCCACAATAGGGTGCTTCTCTCTTCCAAGGAGGATCCTAGAGCCCCCTCTGTGGATATAGACTCAAAAAATTTGGAATACTCTCATGTGCAAGGAACAGGCCTGCTCTTTGTGTGATAGTGATTCCTAAAGAACCAGGCAAAATAATAATATGCTCTTTTGTGAATGACGCAGTGCACAGAAAGACCAGCACTAGAAAGTAGGGGTGGTCTGAAAGGCTCATTTTCTTCAGCCTTTCTTCTTGGAGAGTCATTGGCACTGTTTACTACTTTGTGGCTTTATCCATCCCAAAATTCAAGGCATTGGCTCCTAATGCTTTCCATTCTCTCTTTATTAGTTTTGCATGTAAAAGAGAAGGTTGGATGTAAACCAGACAGGGTGTGGCTCAATACTGGGACGTGTTAAGGAAATACAAGGTTTCAAAGGAAAGCTCTCAATATAGCAGGACACACCTACCAGAGCAAGTATTTGAGGAATTACTCCAAGGAACAGAACCAATTTGAGGACTTGCAGGAACTGAAAGGACACTGAGGTCATTTAAATGTCACCACGTCACGGAAGGCTAAAGATAGTAACCGACTTGCCCAAGGTCTCACAGCCAGGCAGGGGCAGGACTGGGCCTAGAAGTTAGGTTTATGACCACCAAGGCCATAGTCTTCCCTGTGGCCTGGATCTGCAACACTCTTCTGTCAGCCCACATAATGGTCTATGATGCACCCTTACTCCGGTCCCTAAGAACCTCGAGAATCAACTTTGTATAAGTACTACTAACCAAAGGACAACAAAGGGTGTGGCTGCCGGAGCTGAGTTTAAGATCAACCTTTGCCTCTTACCAGCTGGGTGCCCTCAGGCACCTCCCTTAGTCTCCCTGACCTCAACTTCTCATCCCTGAGATGGGAGTAATACTCTGTTGTAGGGTTTTTGTGCTAAGGTCTGATGTAATGGCCTGGTGTGTCATGGGCCTGGAGTGTTGTGAATAC